TTGTGTTTGCCTTTCTTGTTAGAGCCATTATCATATCCTTATTCACGTAAAGCAAAGATTAAAATTATGGCAAATATCAGGAGTGCAATCGAGAATAATGTAATAATACCGAGCTTTTCTCTCATTTTCATTATTTCAATCAAAACGTCGCACACTGTGCCCAATTATAGCATGCCAAAAGTCCAAAAATAAATGATGTACCTTTATGTACAATGTGCATGTCCAATTAAATGTATAAAAAAAAATACATACAGTGGTCAACAAATTATTGCCGAACCACTTTTTGCCAAATCTTAGACATTATTTTTGTTGTTATTTAATTTTGGTAATTCTTTTTTATAAAAATATAGTTCATTCTTTAACAAAACCCGTGTAAATCCAAGTTTCCAAGTTTGTGCAATATTAAAAAAAATCAACAAACTTTCGTACAGACTTTATTTCTATTTTATTCTACTAGAATTGGGCTACAAAATTGCATACTCAGAGTCTAATTAAAAACTCGAAGTTTTGTACATTGTACAGATTTATGCATTTTTATATTCGGCTATTGGTACAAAATAAAAAAATTGGGAAAATTTTTTTTGTACTCAAAAGATTGGTACAATACAGCAATCTTCTATTGAAAAACTTCAACAAATTATTTTTCGTGATTGGGATAAAGATAAATATTTGGGTATTCACACAATTGGGATACGATTTGCACCAAATTTCGGCAAATATCCAATCGTGTAACACTGACTTTAACTTGTATTTATATGGATGTTGTTAAAGAATGAACTATAAAAAAACTTACCAAAATTAAATAACAACAAAAATAATATTTTAAAACTTGCCAAAATTTGGAGCGGCTTTAATTTTTTCGACTACTGTACATAAGTTGACTATGATTACTCGGCCGTGCTTTCATAGTAGCACAATTCCACTAATATTTGACTTACAAACAAAATACCGGCTGGAATTTCAAACATTCAACCCAATTTGTGAAATATTTTATTTGTATCAGCATTTTTCTTTTAATCAATCTATGTATGTTGAAATAAAAGTGAAAATAAAAAAAAATATTTTGTCAACAAAATTTTACAATTTTTTCCCTTTCACCAGAAACTCATATAAATGGGGGGTTTCGAGGTCGCTGATTTCAAATCTGATGTCAGATTTTCGAAATAGAAAACGGCAGATCCAATGTGGAGTTATCGGATTCGGACAAAAAAAATAAAAATAAAGCTTAAAATAGCCAAAAATATTTTGGCGTTTCCATCATAAATACCGATAAGGCAAAAATTTAAATATAAGAATGATTAACGTCTGACACTATTCTTTATACAGGAGGTACGGGAATATTTGGGCGGTCAACACCCATTTATTGTCCAAAGAAGTATATTGGTGGATGCATTCTTCTTCTTCTTTTTTTGGCGCTGTAACCGCCTAAGCGATTTTGGCCGAGTTCAGCAAAGCACGCCAGTCGTTTTTCCTCTGTGCCAACTGACGCCAATTGGAAACGCCAAGTGAAGCCAAGTCCTTCTCCACCTGATCTTTCCATCGCAGTAGGGGCCTCCCTCTTCCTCTGCTACCACCAGCGGGTTCCGAGTTGAATACTTTCAGAGCTGGAGCGTCGGTGTCCATTCGAACGACATGACCAAGCCAGCGGAGCCGCTGTATTTTAATTCGCTGCACTATGTCCATATCGTTGTAAAGCTCATATAGCTCATCGTTCCATCGTCTGCGGTACTCGCCGTCGCCAACGCGTAAAGGACCGTAAATCTTCCGCAAAATCTTTCTCTCAAACACCCCAAGAGCCGCCTCATCGGATGTTGTCATTGTCCATGCTTCTGCGCCATATACCAGCACGGGCATGATGAGTGACTTATAGAGCGTGGTTTTCGTACGTCGAGAGAGGACTTTACTCCTGAATTGCCTACTCAGTCCAAAGTAGCACTTGTTGGCAAGAGTGATTCTACGTTGGATTTCAATGCTGACATTATTATCGGTGTTAATGCTGGTTCCCAAGTAAACGAAATTCTCTACTTTCTCGAAATTGTAACTGTCAACAGTGACGTGGGTGCCAAGGCGCGAATGTGCTGACTGTTTGTTTGATGACAGGAGATACTTCGTCTTGTCCTCGTTTACCACCAGACCCATGCGCTTTGCTTCCCTATCCAACTTGGAAAAGGCAGAACAGACTTCGCGGTTTTTGTTACCGATGATGTCGATGTCATCGGCATAAGCCAGCAATTGCACGCTCTTCTTGAGATAAAAATAGACACACATATCTTTTTAAGTTGTTTTGGTGGTCGCGCTAGTCGGTTTTTTATAAAAACGCCGATATTCGCAATTTTTATTTTATTTTCGAGGCATGTTAATGTGCGGCTAAAAATGTTGTATTTACATGTAATTACTCAGGTATTATTGTGGCATATTCCTTTAACTGCACACCTGTCCTGGACAGTTATAATGAGCCTAGCGCCCAAAAATATGCTTTCGAAAAGAGACTGCTGAAATGAAAACGTTAATACTAAACGTTTTAAGCATTTAATGCCTTAAAAAACATTACCAGGGAGTTTCTGGGGTCGCTGATTATGCATCTGATGTCTATTTTTCAAAATTCAAAATGGCGGTACCAATATGGCGATCAATTTTTTTAATGATTGCATTTGTTCGAAACTCGGCACTCGGGAGTTTTTGAGGTCGCTGATTACGAATCTGAAATCAGTTTTTTTTTTAAATCGAAATGGTGGACCAAATTTGGCGATCAATTTATTAAAAAATTACTAAAATTAATACCTTGATATTGAACGTTTTAAGCATTTTCATGGGTTGAAACTCGTTACGAGGGGGATTCTGATAACTTGATGCTTTTCTTTCAATTTTATTTGTTGCCCGGGAATCTGACGTTCAGCCGAGCCCGTTACAATTGAACCCTCTGGTCCCCCGTCTCGACGGGGCTGTGCAGCAACATTTACCGGACTCCATATACTCCAGAGGCTTTGAACTTATCAAAAGAACCGATTGCCAATTGTACAGATTGCTGAGTAAAGTGGTTTTTGGCAGCCTTCAATCCGGTGAAGACTGTCTGATTTCTCTAGAGTCCAGCACCTGTTCTATGGTTCTGTAAAGTGCGTGCAAAGCATAGCACCCTCTTTCCTTTTTTTATAGGCTCCATTTGATACATGTACTCGTACTACAGCATAAACTTTGAATACCTTCGCATAGCCCAGGTGTTGGTGTGTCGCCCCTACCAAATAATCCAGACATTTCTTGATGACTGAAATATTTTGCACTTAATTAATCTTAAATGCAACAAAAAGAGCAACAACAGCAACCGTCTAGGCGGTCACCTTCTATTACATACATACATATGTACATAGGTATGTACATACGTAAATATGAAGATATGAGTATGTACATATACTTACATACATACATATGTACATTTAAAGTGTTCATTCCTACCTAATGGATGTAGCTGTGAAGAAGAAAAATTGGACTAACAGCGTAAATAAATAATTACAAGCGAATGAAATGAGTGTAAAAATTAGAATGAAAAATTACCACAAAATGCCAAAACTAAAATTGTGCGCAATTAATCAAGGCCAATGGAGGATAGGGCAGATTAAGCGAAAGCGGGCGGTCAGTGCGGGTGACAGAGGTGAGCCCGAACAAGCATGAAAAAAACTCGCGTGTAGTAGCGTGCATTAACAACATGCAGCTCATATGAATATGCAACAAAAGTACTTGATTATAGTTGATTGTTGTTTTTTCACGTCAGTACATAAATATATACATACATATATACAATTTACTGTTTGGATTTAGGTACGTGGACTTCATTACATACCCAGTTTCATATATGTAGCACTTTTGTATTTGTGCCGGACGGACGCGTGTCAATGGCATTGCTGGTCAGCAGCCGATCGCTAGCCCTTCATGCGGGCACTTCAACGGCTTTTTCTTTGTGTATGTGCGTATATGCGCCACGCCGCCGACCAATCACAGCATTGCCAATTGCTGCTGCACCGCCAGACATTAGACAGCCGGGACCTGCAGAGAGTGGTGGCTGAGGATTAGGAGCTTAACCGCCTAATGGGGTTGCTTAGGTGACATGCGTAAACACGCCCACGCAAGCAACCACTGCGACGAAGACAATAACATTAACATGTGTTGGTCGATAGTAACGGGGGCAGGAGGCGAGTGGCTTAAGAAGTAACAACAAAAATAAACTACCAACGCCTACGCTTGCTGTACGCTTTTATGCTTAGCCACTATTTCTGCATTCACACTCAGCTTGCAATTATGTATTTTGAGTAGCTTTAAGCGCCAGTACAGCGTTGCTTGCATGGGTGGGCGTGTGTTTATTGTTGCGGTGCTTTTATTTTTCCCGCTATTTGTTAACCACCATTGTTGTTAGTTACGCTACACTCAGCAATGTGCGCGAGTAGAAGAGCGTGTGTTGTTGGCTGCCATCGCTTGTACCGTTACTCCAAAGCGCTGGGCTATGTGCAGCTGTTTGCTGTTAATTGTTGCTGTAGTAGTATCCGATACTCTTGTCATTTCACTTAGCCAATTATCCAATAGGAGTTACGCAGACACCTATACTTGTCTCGCTCTTGCGCATGCTCAGTTGGCGGTGCGACGGCCATTTTGCGCTGCTTGCCTACTCTCTTTCGCGCACGTACGCGTCATCCTATGGCAAGAAAACCAGTTTTTCTACTTTTGAAATTCACCACAAGTGCGTGTTTATTCACCACACTGCATTTGTTTTTATTTTTTCATCAGCAACTAGCTGTATGCTTTGCACTTTTGCAACGGCAACTTCTCGGTTGTGCCTCGCCTATTGCTTACGCATTCTGCCTCTATTCACCTCAATTGTCGATACTGGTTGCGTGCATGCAACAAAAGTCACGGCATGTGGCATGCGATCTCTTGCTGTTGCACACAAGCAGCGTGCTGTGCACCATAGTAACGCCATAACGCTGGCAAGCAGCCTCACTACCACCACTGCTAGTACCTTCGCGTGTATGGAGTATCACTTCTAGAGGCAAGCAGGCAGGCAGCAATCAGCCAGCCACCAGTTAGTCAGAGCATTCTTGATGTTCATGCACATAAAGGTTTTTGAGGCAGTGCGTGTTGTTGTTATTGTCGTGCTACACCAACTGTGCGCCAGGCTGCGTGTGTGTGCCGAAGGAGTCAAGCCAACCACTGTGCACCCCGCATTCGCACAGCGTCGACTACGACGACAACACACACGACACGATACCACTCGGAACGGTACGGTCGGCCGCACGCTTGTGACTGTATGCAGTGGCATAGGTAATTCCCAATTGTACAGATCGCTAACGGAAACGAACGCAAAAGCAGTTAGAAAAATTTCGTGCGCTCCGCTAATAGACGGATCAACGGCTGTACAGAGCGCTGTTTAGACGGTACCGCGGTCGCGAAAAATATTTGAACAAAGTGAAAATTGTTTTGAAAATTTTCGAAATATTTAGCAAATGTGAATAGTCGTCAAAGAGTGCGCGGAAATTATTATTTTCGCAATTTTTGAAAAAAAAAACCAATGAAATGCGACGGCAAACGAACGCAGTGATTTAATTAAAGCAAACAGTTTTGTGAAGATATTGACGCACTAAAGAAAATTTTAAATACTAAAACAGAATGTTAAACATTTTCGAATGTGTTTTTGAAAGAGCTTATGTGTTTATAAAAAATGTGCTCCGTGACACCTTAAAAAAATTGAGTCTGCGGAATTACCAAATAGAGAACTAAGGCAGTTTGCGCAAACATACAAATAGTTTGAGAGCCACTGCTAACAACTTACCATTGACCTACTGCCGTTATCTACTCCGATCGACGCGTAAATTCGAACACCCATACAACCACACCCCCTCTCTATCCCCCAAAGCAGCCTTCAAAATGATGATGAACGCCTTCATTGACCCTTCACCCTCGCAGCACCACCTGGCCACCTATGGACTGCGTATGTCACCTACCACACCCACCAATCAGTCGGACTTGCTGGGCAGCAGCGCGCAACAGCAGCACGCACAGCAACAGCAGCAGCAGGTGCAACAGCAGCAACAACAGCAAGCGCAGCAACAGCAACAAGCCCAACAGCAACAGGCGCAACAACTGGACACTAGCGGTCTGATGTCCTCAGCCATGTCGCTGGGCGCTAGCGTCAGTGACATGTCCTCATCCGTAGGCGCCTCCGCCGCCAGCGCTGCTGCCTACCAGAATAGCGGCTACAGCCACTTCAACACACAACTCGGCTCGGCGTATTCATCACCACGCGATTTTTTGCTTGGCCGTCGCACGGACAACGACTACATGTCCGGCGCTACCACATCACAGCTGGTCGGCCAAAGCGCCGCTACTACAGCCGCCACCGCTGCCGATTCTATGCTATTTCCCTCCTTTCCCGCCACACACGCCCAACATCCCGATCTGACAACGTCCTTCGGCAATCACCCCTTTCATGCGGCGGCCCATCACCATGCGGCTGCAGCGCATCATCATCAGCATCAGATGCGCATAGGCATGGCGGACTACGCGCACCCGTATGCACATCATGCGGCGCAACACCACACCAACTTCCCGTCGGTGCATCATCATCAGCATCCCGCCATGTCCATGCATCCGGCGGGCGCGGGCGCTTTTCTGCGCTACATGCGCCACCAACCGTCGGCGGCGTCGGCCATCAAGCAAGAGATGCAATGCCTTTGGGTGGATCCCGATCAGCCGGGCGGCCCGAATGGACGCAAAAGTTGCAACAAAATCTTCCACACTATGCACGACATCGTCACCCATTTGACAGTGGAGCACGTCGGCGGACCGGAGTGCACCACACACGCCTGCTTCTGGATTGGCTGCTCGCGCAACGGTCGGCCATTCAAGGCCAAATACAAGCTGGTAAATCACATACGCGTACACACGGGCGAAAAGCCGTTCGCTTGCCCGCATCCCGGCTGCGGTAAGGTGTTTGCGCGCAGCGAGAATCTTAAGATACACAAGCGGACGCATACCGGTAAGTCGTGTAATTAAAAAAAAAAAAACAAAAAATAAGATAAGGAAACAAAAAATTGTCAAACAGCTGCAACACCTGCAGGGTTGTGGGCAGTGCGTATACGCCTGCCGAGCAAAAAGCGGTAGCACTGCAGCAACTGCAGGGGATGCCAATTTACTAGCAGCCTTAGAGCGGGCACGGCATTGCAATTCTATTTATTTGACTTCATTTGTGTTGCTTTTGCTCTGTTTTATTTTGTTTTAACTTGTTTGCCGTTTGCTCTTTGTTCGCTAATCGGTTTAAGTGACTTTGGGGCGGCGCCGTTGTAGGCGTACGCATTGATATTTGCGGACATGCAAAAATTTAAGCCTTTCGGGTCTACGCCTTTTTGGCTGTTGTTGTTTGGAGTGTTCAAACGCATTGGAATTTTGTTTGCTAGCGCGGAAAGTCAGTAAGCCAGAATCTGTCGGAGCTGGGTATTTCGTGGAAGGCTGAGGGAGTACCTGCAGAGTCAGCAGCATCGAATTGTCATGAAATGTCAGGTAGTTGTGCGGCTACAGAATGTTTATTAATTTTGCACATTTGCTTGACTCTAACTGCATTGTGCTTTGTCCAATATATTTTTTGGGAAACCCATAGCAAAGAAGGCATGTGCTAGCGCGCTGTTGGGTTAATCGATTTATGTTTAAGTAGGTACATATGCATGTCGGTATGTATGTACATATGAAAAATAAAATTTGTGCGCGATTTCAGTTATTTATTTGTTAAATGGCTCCCTAAAGCAGAATAAGCAGAAAGTTGGGACCAAACGTTTTTAATTTGATACTTTTAGTTTTTAAGAAAAATGAGAATATTTCTGTCTTTGCACTATGGTCTAAATAGTTTTTACATGTGTTAACATCATTTTTTTCTTGTTGCAATATCGTAGAGAATACAGTAAAACACAGGCGCGGTAGCTTTGTTTTTTTTTTAATAAAAGCTTAAGGGAGAAAACAAACAGCAGCCTATCTACTTATTTATGTACAATTGAAAATGTGATTGAGCGTGGGACATAATAGAGTGTACATTTTATTTACTATTATAAATGTATTAAAACACATTATTAAAAAAGTTGATTTGGAGACTAAAGCAAAAGTTATTATATACTAAAGATGTATGAAAATAACATGGAAATACTCATCTTGTTTGCTACCTAATAAATTATTAGATTTGCCTCACATCTTTAGTTTACATAAACCTTGCAAATTTTGGCCAGGCTTTCCATTGCCACTGTGTAAATGGGTTTTAGTCTAAGTGACATTTGTTTTTCCTTTTATTGAAAAAAAATACATTCAATAAAATAAAATAATAAGTGACTCCTTTAGACCCCTCAGTGGTCAAAGGTAAAAATATATTTTTTTTTACAAAAATGTGGGAAATCATATGCCAATAAAAAAACTCATGATATTTTAAATCATTCACTTGTTTAGCCGTAATAAGTTTTGGCTAGAAAAACAGGCATTTAGACCACAGTGCATTGCCTATTAAAATATGTATAGAAAAGTTTTACTAATATTTTCACAAAATTAATTGTTTGAGTAAAACGAAACATTCATTTCTTACCGACTGTAAAAAACAATTGCAGAAGGTTTCGGGCTGGTATAGGAGACAGAAACAGCTCCAAGTTAGGTACTACATTATTTAACTCATATAAGGTTCAGAACATTGGAACAAATTTGATGTAATCGAATTTAGGATCTTCGGTGTAGAAGGAGCGATCATGTAGGAGATTCGGATTATCGGAAATAGAGCAGTTAAATTTGTCCAGTAGGGTATAATACAAAGCTGTATGCGAAAAAGTAGGAAGAGGTATGTGGGATTATCAAAATTAAAAGAACGGAGTGAAAACTTTGGCCCCTATTATGACTTGCATCGATCTTCGACTGTGGTCGAAAGTGACGAACTTCAATTGGTTTTATGACGCCCATTCGATGAATAATAGCGCTATTGTGAATTTCGCTCGTTTAGGTTGTTCACAATAGTATATTTTTCACCGCTGAGAAGCTTTGTTTACAATCGAGCAAACTAAACAGTGTCCTTTTACATATTTATGTAAATTTTTGCAAATTAAATGAAATAAAAAAGAAAGCGAGTTTATAAAAACGTGGTAAAAATTAGTACAACGAGTTCTGGTTCAACTATTCGTCAGAGGATGAGAGCTTAGTAAACTGGCCGGAGTAGGAAACGTTTAATGTAGAGAAATTTGTCTACAGATTTATTAAAAGCTTCCGACTGTCTAAAGAGACGTTTGTGAGCCAAATCTATTTAAAATAACTGAGTATTGGGATCTTCTTTCACAAGTAAAACCAACCTTTCGAGCTTGTGTTTAGTATTCAAGACGTTAGAACTGCATGAATTTAATAAAAATTGTTTAAAAGTAGTGTCAAATCGCCAGAAAGTAAGAAAACAAAATCATACATTTTACATTCCAAATTTTGTTGAGATATCTTACTTTTCTCTGGAGTTACTGTACTCGGATGGACAGACGGACGGACAGAATTTTTACATTTTAAATTTATCCGCTATTTAATGATTTTTATTTTTTCGACACAAAAATTATCGCTGCATCGGGTTTTATTTTTTTCATCGTAATATAAACTTTGTTTGCAAAACTAACTTTTCCGATCATAAAAAATTCAAAGCGGCCATAAAAACGCAGTTTCCATTATGGCGGTTAAAAAGTATTAAAAATAAAACCCCAAAACAATGATTATTTTGGAGACAATAATACTATCAAATCTAATCTAAAAATAAAAATCTTTAAAAAAATCTTGTTTCGGTCATTGGGTTTGAGATGTTTAAGGATTTCCTGCCTTAGCTCAGAGTTGGGTGCTTAAAGTATTTATGGCTTCACGCCTTTTGACAATTCTCCACGCGCCAATTTAGGGATGGCAGTAAGCGTGTAGAAAAATTTATCAAGTTTGAAAAGTTTTATTTTGACTGAGGCGTAAAGACAGAATGGGCCCCATTCCATGGTCGAACAAAAGCGAAATTCGTAATTTTACAGATTTCGGTCATATGTATGCAGACCTCTACTTATATACATATGTACATACAATATAAAACAGAGACTAGTAGATATACAAAAAGTGGTGTGACTTTAGTTAAATAACTTATACATATTTTATTTATTACCATCATTTTTACTGCCTAGTATTGTCTAAGACAGAGGCATAAAGTGCTGTGTTCCTCTTCTGGCGATCTAGATGTGCTGGTATATTAAAAAACTCATTAAAAAAAAATATATTTTAAACGTAATTTTCTTTCTTCAATTTCTTCTAAAAGGAGGTATTTATCGTGAACAGGGATTAATAATAGATTGGCGCTTACACAATTATGGGACTCACAAGCAGGGTACGAAAATAAACTGTACAAAACAATTCCCATTTGCTTATCGATCATCATATCATTTGTGGTTTTGTACAGTTTTGTAAATAGTCAGAAACAAATTGTAAGATTCACTGTCATTTTCCCCAACGAGAAACGTTTGCTTTTCGTTTGTGACAATTGTACCATAGGGTACGTTTTATATGTATGCAAACGTTTCAATTACGTGAAAAATAATTTTTTCTGTAAATTTTCATATCCAATTCAATTAAAAAACATTTTTATTTTTTTTATTCATTGCAGCCATTCGTTTTGTATTTGTTTAATGCATATATGTACATACATAAAAATATTTTCCCTGCACGATTCATTTCGTTTGTTGTTTCGTCTGTAACTCCTAAACTACTGTAGTGTACTATCGCCAAAGTGAACTCAGCCGTTTTGTTTCGTATTGTACCGAACTGTTAAAGTAATAAACGAAACGAAATAGTAACGTACAATATAGTTTATTTTCGTACACTGTTCACAAGACGTTATTTTGCATAGAAAAATTTTAAGATTTCACGACGCTTAAACGTCTTGTGAATCCAATAAATGTGTTAGTGGTTGGTTGAGCTTCTCCCTGACGTACAGTTTTACCAAACGGTGATTGTATTTGTATGAGGAGTTGTTTTTCATGGCAGAAATGCACCCGAATTGGCGTAAAACTGTAGGTCCCTCCTCATTGTATGATAACATCAAGGCGCACGCCACAAATCGGAGGTGAAGCTCGGCCAGACACTAACATATGTGTAAGCGCCAATCTATTATTATTATGAGTAGTTTTTTTTAACGAATTTGTATAAAATTATAAAAATGTTGAATAAAATATGAAAAATACGTGTAATTAATTTGTTCTACTGATATGGAGTATTTATGTATTATTGTATTAGACATTTTGTGACTGTTCTGTGTACAGGTTTAGTAAATTTTTCAGGTCATTAATTTTGTTAGAAGCATAAAAATGTCTGGTAACATAGTTGAAAGTGGACTTGTCTGCATTCGCCATGTAAGCAGACAAAAAGTAGTATTGGAAAGTTTGATTTTCAGAAATAAAAACTGCTTTTGAAAGTCACTTTGCATGCAAGGTGTAACTACTGCTGCTATCTCTTCTGGAAATTCTTGAGTTTGACAGACTTTTGGAAAAAGGACTTGCACTTTCCTCTTCTAACAGCTACTTAACGTAAGTGTTATTCCGAATTTGATGAGCAGCTATTTGAAGTCGCTGGAAAATTCCAATAACTAAGTTCCTTCCCAACTAACTAACTAACCACATTGTTGCAGCAGGGACTGATCTGGTGATCTGAACATTTTATACTTTTCTGAGACAATTTCAAAATAAGCAAAGTCGGAATTTTAATGCCCTCACCCCCTAGGATTGTTCTATATCGAAAAAATATACCCATATTTTTTATTTTGAAATAAAAATATATTTAGAGAACGTATTTTATATGGGGGAAAAACAGCTTATCGTAGAAACAGATAGAATTCTTGAAAATCATCATTTTTCGATCGGAAAACTGGTCCTCTGCAGGAGACTTCAAATAACAATATCCAATTGTTCATTTACCCATTTTTAACACTGAAGATTTTTTACTTATCCGCCAATGCATTTTC